ACACACACACACACACACACACACACACACACACACACACACACACACACACACACACACACACACACACACACACACACACACACACACAAGAACGAGATGTTTTCCACGTCCCAGGGCTATTTGTAAATCTATTCTGGCTCCTGGAGAGGGGAAGTGAGGGTTGGTAGGAAGCGTGGAATGTAGTCGGGAACAGTGGATGATGTAGTATAGTAGCTGGAAGGTGGTGACTGGGGGAAAGAGTGGTGTTACTGTTGCCTAGTTACAAGAACTATGATTGTAGAAATGCTAAATGGTGATGATAAACAAATATGACCATCTAACAGACAAACAATACATCCATCCACAAAGCTTGGAGCACAAGCTAATGGGAGAGGTATTTGCATCCTTGTACATCTATTTCATTATATTACATTACAAATATGATTTCTGTAGTAGTATTAATAGCAAAAACAAATGTACTGGTAAAATGCCCCCAATATATAACAACTCTGTCAGAGCTGAAACATGATGGTTACACAACTGTTCCTAGTGTCTCTCCTCTCTCTTCCACCCATCTATCCTCTCTTCCCATTTTTTCTCCACTCACCCCAACCGGTTAAGGCAGATGGCTGCCCACATTGAGTCTGGTTCTGCCAGAGGTTTCTTCCAAATAATAAGTTGTTTTTCTCTCCACAGTCAGCAAAGTTCTGCTCATTGTGGGACCTGGGTTTCTCTATCATTTTTAAGGCTTCCACGTTAGTGTGTCTTGCCTGAGATAATGTATATAATAATTAGGCGCTATATAAATAAAATTTACATTGAAACTGAGTTGTGGCTGATATATAATTAAATAGATATATTAACTCAGTTGTTATATTAAATGCTTATGCATCAGTGAGGTGGAGCTTTTTTCAGTGCAGTGGTTCCCAATCTAGGAGTCAGGACCTTCCAAAGGCTCACAAGATACATTTGAGAGGTCGTGAGATGATTAACGTGAGAGAAAAGATTAAAAACAAAGTTCTGATCCACATATTTATGTTATTCTCTCAAACCGTTTTTAATCTTCTCATGTCTTTTCATGAACGATTTGTAAATATACAATTGATACTGATTGGTTTACCGCTCCTACCTCAGTTCGGCTTAAGTTTACAATGATTGTGGTTTGACTGTTTTATTTTACAGTGTGGTCTCTCTCTAAAATTACTGGAAGAGGAAAATGGAAACTTAAGTGTCCTCCCAGTTAACCTCCTGTCATTAGACCCAGAAACAACTTGGCATCATGACCTGGCGTCACCGCTGCGTGACTGTGCACGACACTTGGCACAGACAGAATGTGACAGTCAGAAACAGCTCAGGAATGTGAGGTAGAGAAAGAGAGAAAATGTGGCACTCAGCTCTGTGGATCTGACCTCACTGTGTCCCAGTGCTAACACACATCCGATCCCAAGCACGCCAGACAGACCCGATCCTTCTTTTTGGCCCTAACTGAATGAACGGAAGAGGCAAAGTTGGCCCAGAAACTATACAATGCGGAAGCCATCTTGGTAATGCAACTAAAGGACCGACTTGGCTGAAGCTCCATGAGAGACGCGGCTTGGCTCAGAGGCCAAGAGGGGAAGGAAAGAGGAAGACACTGCTGCTCAAACCCTATGAACGATGGAAGACATCTTGGCTCAGAAAGCAAGGTAGGAAGAGAGAAGTTTGACATCAGTGACACGCAGTGACCTCTGCCACCCTTGGAAAACACAATGCTCACTACCCTGTACCCTGGCACACACAGCTGCAAAATGAGTTTCACTTGTTGATGGCAGATACCTCGTATTTAGTGACACATTATAATGCAATTAAAAAGGTGTTGTTGTAATATGCCTTTACTCTGTTCTTAGTTTTAGTTTAAAGAAAAGAAAAGAACAGTGTTCTTATTGATATGTGAATGTTACTCTGAGCCAGATGAGGAAAAGCTTGAACCTTGTCTCAAGTTAAAATACTGTTAAAATTGGAAACCAACAGAAAAACCACCGCTGCTTTTACAAATACCAGTATTTTCACTCGGTTGGCAATTTAGCTTAAGCTAATACAGTCTGATTGAACCGTGATGCAGTGAATCCTCCTGTCATTACACTTCTAATGACTTCAATAAATACAGAGCATTTATAAACTTCATTATGAAGCAGTTATTGCAATGCCTTATAAAATATCATCTCATTGTTATTCACACATACAAACACCAGGGGTCAGTCCCACACTTCTACTCTTTTTCATTCGCAGCTCAGTTCAGTCTCTGCCCAGTAGGAGTCACCAAAGGTTTGTTTATAATCCATTTGTAAAGAGTGATCTCACTTTTAATAGAAAGAAACTTAAATGCTGCACATCTTGAGGAGACTCCCTGAAATAAGAACATTTGTATCTCAGTTGGATTATCTAGTTAAACGAAGGATAAATAAATTCTTTCATGTTCTTGTTATTTAATAATTACCCTAACAACTGCAGTCATGCTCTGTTCAACCTTTTAGTTGTATTTCTCCATTATACCACAAGAGGTCAGTCTCACACAACTAATGCAGAGAGGCTCTCTGTCTACACAGGGTCATAGTCCAATGTGTCAATACAGATGTTATAAAAGGTGTTTTATAGAACACACTTTGCCAGTAGTGCAATAAAAGTGTGTACATAAAGAAATAGCACATGTTAGAGTGTGAAGACAATCTAAACAAGAGCATTTAGATTGACAAAGAGAACAATTAGTGACTCACAGAGCGCAGATGAGGTAAGAACCGCTCTATGTCGTTCATGTCGATGCCGTCATCCTCCTCGAACTTGTTTTTGTTCATCCTGACAGAGACGACGAGAAAGAATCAATGAAATGTAATGCTCAGGGATGAGTAACACACATTCTCAATGTGATCACAGAGAAACAGAGTTCTCTAACTGAGATAATATGAAGCAATCAGAACAAATGATAACACAGAGCAGTTCAGCACAAACAAAGAACCAAAGAAAGCAGATCTTACCCCTCTCTGTCAATGTGTGGCAGGTGCTTTGGCGTTCCTCTGATGTGTTTCCTGTGGAAATGGCTGAAGTCCAGTTTCTCCGGCTGCACGTCCCAACCTGCACCTCTTCAATATAGAGACAAAGACGAATCAAAGGTTGGAGAAAGCCAACATCTATACAGCTGAACACAGCAGAGGAAAAAAGTAAATAATGAACAATTAAACACTTCTGTTATTTTATATTATCTGAGAGTGCAGGTAGTGAGTGAATTAATCTGAGCGGTGCCTTGTAACAATCATGGCATTTCTTCTTGTAAATGTTTGGCTTTAAGTAACATCAAACACAACCCAGGTCATGTCTGCCTTTGTGTCCTAAATCAGCTTTTAGTACAGCTTGACCTATTCTCACAAAACCTGATATTGAATCTCCTCTAAAGGTTTTTCCAGGCATGAACAAGTCGCAGTTTTCCAGACTTTTTCTGGTGTTGCCTTTCACACGTTCACAGCAGCAGGAGAAAACCAGGATAATGTACGGACTTCAGTGCATGTGTGACAACAGCGGAACAGTTTGAACACTAACTTCAGATGCTCCTTATGAAGACAACTTTATATATCCAGAAATAGACAGACAGTAGGGAAGATTGAGAACATTTCAATGTAAAACAATAATAATAGGCAGTCTGTGAAGACAGGAAAAGGAGACGTGTGGAGCATCTGTTTTTAATGTAAAGTCTATTAATCACTGACACTACAATAGATTGAACCACTAGATGGCGCTGATGAGGCACTTATTTCTTTAATGCAATAAAGAGAGAATTTTAGAGGTTGAAACAGCATTTGTGTTTTTTTATAAACTAAGCTACAGAACAGGTTTCAATTGCAAGGAGATTTCTTTACACAGCTTGAACTAGAAAGGCAGATATTACTTTATATTAATTGTCATTCAGTTTTAAATTTATACTTCTCTACGTCTCAGTCACTGAGTTTCTTAAATCATCCAGACTCCTTCATTGTGTGCTCAGATGTGCCAACGTGGCTGGAACTTGGGTATCTGAAGCTGCTGTGCGGCCGTTACCATGGCAACCAACTCTCTCTCTCCAATGAGATTGATTTATGTGTCACTTATTTCCTGTCTTTCACCTTTTGTTCTGCTCAGAGTTCCAGTTTCTGCTTTTTTGGGGGTTGTTGAGCAACATTTTGTAAAGATTTGCTCTCAGTAGAAAGAGAAACAAGATTTTAAAGCAGCCGTGCAGGTGCAATATACATGTAGCTTTTGGAAGAAACACGGAAACTAAATAGTTTATGGGAAGAATCAAAGAATCACCAGCAGCGTTAGAAGAAGAAACTGGATGAACTTTACATAAATCTGTTTTCCTTTCATTTCCCACAATACATTTATATGCCAGAAATGATCTGGGTCTTGGGGGCCAAATCTGGGAAACACTGTCTTGGGCTATCTGGGCCAGATCTAACTAAATTGATTTGCTGAGCTCAAATTAAGAAAATGGAACTGTTGATAAGATGAGCAAAATCAAGCTGAGGGGAAATAAACACTGAAAGAGCAACAGAGAGATTTATAGGACTGTTACAGAGAATAAAGCTAGGACGCAATGTTTGTCTTAAGCTGCTTTCAGACATGCACTGAACTGTGGACATTTTCCTGAAATTTTTCAGCGGTTGTGTGTGAGAACGCAAATGTCCAAGTCAGCTTCTCCTTTTCCAGAATTTCCCTGCCCCGAGTTAAGTGTACGATAAACGTCAGTCATCTAATTTGATAATTATCTCTGGATGAAAAAGAAGTGACATACATGTGTAAAAATGTAAAGTTGAAAAGACACTGTGATTCGAGAGATTTTGGTGACAAGGGCTAACCCAGGTGTCTATTTACTGTTGTAAACATGTCTGACCTTGACAATTGTGCTCTTCTGTGAAAGGCAAACTGTTTTTCCTTAACATTTTCACAGTTATCTGTTTTATGACCCACAGAAGCTATGGTTAAAATTCAGACTCAGTAGACTGTACGACATTTTCGGCGTATAAAACAATGAGGCACCTACCCGAGTGAGTCCATTGTGTTGGCCGCCCATATGTCTGTGCCCAGGATGTCAAAGGAGCAGTCTCTGTTCCCATTCTAGACAGAACATGAGGAAAAGAAAAGAAAATGTTTTCACTTGATGACAAAACACACTGAACAAAGCATCACATTTCTAGCTTACTTAAGCTTGTAATTAATGTTTATAAACAGGTATTTTTTAATGTATATATAATGTAGGCTTTATGCACCTACCTCCCCATAATGTAGCTCAACAAGATACATTATATTCCCTTCTCGCCTGGGAAATGTTCATGTATAGGTCCAGTTTCTAACAAAGCTTTTCTCTCAAAAACTGATCTTCATGTGAAAAACCAGAGGAGCCCTTTCAACATTTATAGGTAATAAAAAATTGATTTGTGGTGATGCTTTTAAATGCTCATGATAAAAAACGGGTAAAGACTCCCACGAGAACCATACGATGAGCACGGTAAGAGTCATGTGACGGAAGTAGCAACAATACTGGGTCTGTCAAATTCTCACCAAGACGGATCATTGAAGAAAAACCAAGGGGATGTTTTAGCACTAAGAAACACATGAGATAGCAGACAAACACACACACAGTTGTATCTTTACCTTTGCAGGGCCTTTGAACTGATTGTTTCTGCCTCTGCTGCCAGAGCGTGAGCCAGAACCTGGTCTGGAGCCTGAACTGGGTCTGGAACCTGTGCTGCCATTACTGCTGTGTTCCCACTCGTCCTGCAAGATTTAATTCAAGGTCAATATGTTGAATTTTTGGTCAGTTAATCTGACACATAAACATCTTTTTAAAATAAAATATAAAAAAACAAGTATGTTCCACTAATATTAGTCTTAAACCCATGTGAACACACTCTCTGATGGAGCTGGTTGGTCAGACTTTTTGTTAATGGAGGCCAGTGCACTATTTCTCCTGCAAAATTGCACTGATTTTGTGCATATGAGGAGCCTGTATTGTGTTGTACTGCTTAATACAAAGGTCTAAATTCACACAAGATACGATATGAGTCAGGGAAGACCTCATCAAATTTTGGTGCGATGAGGATTAGGCGGCAGATCCAGGGACTTCATTTTTGACACATCACCACAGTTTTCCAAGAGAGCAATTCATGGATCTTGATGAAAAAAATCCAGCATGTTTAGAGACCTATATACGTCTCTATAAGAAATTAGGTACAGTTTAATTGAATTTAAGGGAACATTCTAGTTGTTACCATGTTTATTTCTGTTATTGCTCCTGTTAGTTGTAGTTGTTTCTGAGTTCACTATACACTGCAAGAAAGGACAAATCACAAGGGTTCAAGCTGAGGTTTGTTTTCTTATTCTTACTTCCAGGAGCTAAATGTCAAAACAAATCGAAAAAAGGCAGTTGCACGATCTCTGGGACTTTATTTCTGCTAAGGTTTTGGTGTATTGATGTAAATACTGACATTTTGTTTTCAGTCCATCCTCTCTCATATCGCACTCTGCTCTCTATGAACCTGTCAACCATGCTGCTTTTCCCTCACTACTCACTTCCTGATGACTCATTCCAATAAATCTCAGAGGAGCAATAATAGTCTAGATCATTAAAGTTAGAGCCTGCCAACAAACAAGCACAGGTAAGTCAAGGATGAGATGAGAGGGAAAAGAAGAAATGAAAAATTAAGGATGCAATAGGAGACATTGCAAAGTGAAACATGATGCACATGATTTCAGATTTATAGAAAAAACAAACAAGAGAGACAGAAAATGATTATAAAGACAAAGAATGAGTTCTCTCATCACCTGATTCAGAGAAAAAAAAATATTAAGATTGAACTTATTGTTTTCAGGCCATAACCAAAATCCTGCATGAAAATGATAAACAAAAACATAATACACTACAAAGCTATAATTACATCACTGATTTTTAGGTGTTGCTATTTTTTAATCTACAGACACATCAATTTGTTCACGTGTAAATTTAATGCAAATTTTGAGTTAAAACAAATCTTCCATCTTAACATCCATTGTGATGGATGGAGAGGTACGGTTTACCCAACCTTTTTTGCTACTTCAGCCCATAGACTGTGAACAGTCAATTCATTAATGAAGCTGAAGTCCAACGCTGTGAAATAAGCAAAACACTAACACACTTACAGGCTTGGATGAGCCTCTACCCCGAGAAGACGTCCAGCTGCCATCTTTCTTGTCATTGCAGTCGTCGGTCCACTGGAAAAGAGAAAAAAAGGTAGAAGACACTTTTATATGTGAAATGTGGGGGGTGTAAATAAAGACAGCAAACAAACTAAACAGATACTAAACCCTAGAAACTTAGACGTAGGGTAGACAAATCTTATATCATGGCATATTTTGAGATGAGTTTCTTAACAGTCTTTCTTTTTTAAATGACCCCCAATGGTATCACGGATCTCAACTTGGGCTATTTTGAGTGTTTTCAGATGCTCAGTGGAGCACAGCAGCGTGAGTGTGTGTTGACTCTCATGCAGAAAACAGGACAGTTGCTTATCCAGAGGCAGTGTTGGTGGATGCACCTCTGTGTTTGTCTAGGTTTATATACATTACAATAATAATATGTGCAATAAGTGCATCTTTTTGTGGATACAAAGCAGAGACACCGCTGCCTAAATGTAACCACTGCTGCTTTCAAATATTGGACGAATGAAAGCATGTTATATACTTAAGTAACAGGGCTCTGACCTGTGGCACCTTGCCACCATTGTCCAAGTCCAAGTCTCCGTCTGCCTTGTCTCCCAGCAGCCCCTGTACTTGGTACTCAAGCACATAGCTGTCGATAAAGCGCTCCAGCTCCTCGATCTCCTGTGAGCGTGTGCTACCGGCCTCAGACGACGCAGACGCCACAGACGAGTTCTCCATGGCAACCCACGCTGCAATTGGTGGAGGAGGAGGGGAGGGGGGAGGAAAGGAGGAAAGTGACCTGTGGAGAGTGGAAAAGAAAGATGCAGAGAGGGGAGAGAGGTAAAAAATTCAGTCTGACGAATTAGAAACTTCCATAACAGGGCATTCATTTCCTTTGACTCCAACACTTAAAATAGGAACTTTAAGAACACCAGCAACACAGTGACAATAATGTAATCGTCAGACAGGTAAATAAATTGATAGTTTAGTATTTTCTAGTTCCAACCCTTCCATGAATCTCATATGTGATAATTTTATGTTTAATTGAAATGTAATTGTAAAGACAATATCTTTGAATTTTGGACTGTTGGCTGAATAACATACTGTGAATATATATTCTTGTGCTTTAGAATACTATACTATACTAACAGGGATTTTTCATGAGGAAAAAAATTAACCATAATGAAAACTAGACAATCAGTACAGCGTCAAATATTAAAAATGGCCTACCTCGCAATGTAAAGTTTAAAAAAAGTCCTAGATCTGGATCCACACTACAATTTAATGGGTTCTTCCCTGACCCATATCACATCTTTCTGACAAGTTTTGTGGAAATCCATCCAATACACATCCATATCTGGACTGCCTGCTTTGAAACGATCCAACAGCAGGAATGTTGTGGAGCTACAGAGGACACCAGGTTGTGTTTTCACCCATCTTATATCAGACTCATCTTCATCATCACGAAAAATCCTGTGACTCATGTCTGCTAGTTTGTCTAGCCAAACTCCCTCTGGTGTCTCAATTCACACACCTCCCCATGTCCACGTCCCTCTTGGTTTTTCCACCTCTTGTCCTGCCATCACTCTCTCTCTCTGTGCTGTCAGCATTGATCACCTGACCCCTGGCCGACAGGGAAGCAGCTTCCTGCCTGCCTGTCTGTTGCTACTAAGCTCCTTTACATCATGGCTTGATCGCCAGCCATGCAAAGAGGATTTATGGCCCACGAGCACGCAGAATTGTATCTGCTGAGCTCTGGGGACTCACTGGGGAGCCCTGTGCATTTTTAGCCAACAAGTCAGGGACAGCAAACAAGTCAGCGACATTAGATCTAAATAATCTATTGGTTGTAAATTCAGAGCTAATGCAATGTCTATGACTCTCTTAAAAAAATTTTTTAACATCAAATCTGATCTTACTAGCTAAACTGTGTGTGACCATATATTATTAACAAGAAGGTGAACAAAGTAATCACTACACGCCATTTCAACAGAACTAAAGCAAGAATATCAAAATTATATTAATTTTTGAGTTCCAGAAATAGAAACAACCATGTTCAAAACTATTTTACTGAGAGGAAAATGCTGCAGTGTAAGAGCAGACCTCAGGGTCGGCAATGAGACGGCACCCCTGCTATGCAAGAGACTGCAACTTGTACTAGTCTCATGCTCTTTACTTATGACTGCCCTGCTGCTTTCCTTTATGTTCTTTCAGGACAAATGCTTAATCCCTTCATACTAAGCAGCATGGTCAATATCTTCTAATCTGACCTTGTGTCAATAGTATAATCCATCTATACATGATTAGCCTGGTGATTTGCAGCTAGCAGACTGCAGATGCATCAGCACTCAGACCTTGTGCCTTTTAGAAGTTGGGAAATAAACAGCAAGTTAACAGTGTGCACCAATTTCATTTTTCTTTGCAAGTTCTAATTATTCAGATTTGTTCCCAATTATTACTTTTCCCACTGTTTTTATTACTTGCATTTGAATTTTCAGGGTAATCCGTTTTTTGTATGTGTGTCAATTTCCTGTCCCACCTCTGGCAAGATCATGTGTCGAAAATCGATCGTGTGCCCAAAATGAGGACCATTCATGTTGCAACACCAAAGCCTGTAAACTCAGCTCAAATAGGACACATATCACCCAGTCGTCCAAGTCATGCTGCTCTGTAAATCCTCACAGACTCTTCACTGACAGCCTCCTGACACAACAGTGTACACTTAGCAGACAAACAAATGAACATGTGGAAATTTCATTCAGTCAAGCATCTATTTTCAGCTGGACAGTGTTATATTGTGCAGCGTCACATTGGATTTGACTGGAATATAAATTACCAGTCCCAAACAATGTAATACACTTCATCGAAACAGTCCTGCAGTAAAACATGTATTATAACAGAGTTTAATTTTACTTTTAGAATTCGGTATTTGATGCCATTGTGTCATTAAGGTTTTTATTCATCTTTACTGTAAATGCTCATTTATGCAGCAAACTTTCTAGTCTTGTTTACCACTCAAAGTGCTTTACATTGCATGCAGCACATCATGCAGCACTTTATCACACATCAATCACTCACTGCCAGAACAGCCGGTTCAGTATCTTGCCCAATGACTCCTCGAGACACAGAATGGGGGCAGATGGAATTGAACTGGTGACCTTTTAGTTTGCTATCTCCTGAGCCATAGCCTCCTCCTGTCTTTAAAGCTTCTCAGTGAAAAGGAGGTAAAATACTGTATTCCTCTCTTGTTCACATAAAGGAGGAGGACACAGCACTGAACATATTTTCATCTCAGTCAATTAATTTCAAATGTGCTGAAGTGAATTAACTTTAAGACTGTTTAAATGAATGGAGAAGCTTCAGTAATAGTGAATGTTTGTGACACTAGGTTAATTGAAGCATATCACAGTGGATGTCCTCCTGTTGTCCTTGACATCTGGTTTAGAATTACTGCCTGAGGGGAAACTGCCCACAGCTATTGACCCATCCATTAATACAGCTCTCATCTGGTTCTGTCTTTTTGCCTTGGCATCTACCACTTACTTTATAGTGGCCTTTGTGTGACACTTTACACATGCGTATTGTGCAGGAGTTGCAAATCTCCAGACGTGTGAATACATTACGTTCACCCCAGACAACATGAATGTTAATATCCAAAGTAACTACTGGTTATGCATTATAATACAGGCCTGCTGTATCTGAAATGGGTCACTAAGTCCTCTCTATGCTTTCTTAATACATTGCTCCAAACCTGCAAACATCTATTCTATGATTTTCTAATATGTGCTCTCTGAGGCTTTAGCTTTCAGCTTACTATCAATAAAATCGATGTTCTTCAGATGGAGGAGAAAGAGGTTTGCCTTTCTAACATAAGATCAGTTTGATGTTCAAGGGTGGCACCAACTTGGTCATGTGAGACTCATGCTCATGTGATTAACATCATGCATGGACTTGGGAGGAGACTCGAGTGGGAGATTTATCTTGCTCAAAGAAAGAGCTACTGTCTTAAGTACACAAGGGAAAAACAAACTAAAGCATGAACAGCAGGCTGTTGGCCCTCTGAGCTTTGTCTAAACAGAGAAACTGACTCTGCAAGGTCAGGAGCACAAATAGCATCACAGGGCTTCTCAAATTTAACAAGCACAAGTCTTGTCTTAAGATGATGCAATGGTACGGGCTCTCACTTTAGAATGTATTGATGTAAATGAGTAGGGAAAAAGCATTTATAAAAACTGCATTGGTTTGAACTTTGTAGTAATGAACTCCCAGGTTCTGGGACACACTATAAGAGAAAACGAGCAGCAGTTGCAACTCAGATGATCTTAATCATCAGTTAATCTGTTGATTTGTTTCTCGATTAGTGCAGATTACACATCACATTGTGTTCACGTTGTATGAAGCCCTGATGTGAGTCAGTGTCCACTGGATCAGAAAACAACAAGTTTTAAAAAGGAACACAATCTGGGTGTGTGCAGTTAAGCAGAACTAAGCTTATCAGACCTATGTAGCCCACAGCTCATCTCTCCTCGAGCCTTACGATCATAACAAAACTGAGCTGTGAATGTTACATTATGAGAGATGTAGGTGCCGGATTTTGACAGGGAAGTAGACCGTGTAGAACAAAAACGATGTAATCTCTGGTTCTGCTGCATCAATGTAGAAACTGATAATGTTTTAGTATTAAGAGGCAGACAGCAAACATCAGGGAGAGAGAAGGGGCATAACATAAAGGTCCCCAGCTGGAATCAGGTGTTGAAGATATGTGGCATATACTGAAACCAGTTGAAAAACAGAGCTTTTAAAAGGGGCATAGAATCCAGGAAACGTCAGCTAACACAAAAAAATGCCTCTCACAATTTTCAAAACCCTAAAATGGCACATGCAAATTGTTTGTTTGTCAATCCCTCTTCCCATATACCCTGAGCACCTCCCCACCTCACTCTTTCCTGTCTCCACCCTTCTGCACTCCCTTCCTCAGCTGTTCCAACAAAGAGCTGCCTGCCACACTGTCCTGGCCTGAGCTCCACTGATGTAGCAACGACTGCGCCCGGGGCCCAGCACCAACCAGACAGATACTGAACTGGCCAGACAGACACAGCGTGGCACTGGACAGCGCGACGTTTCTTTGTTTAAGAGGCTGTGACAAATGCCGGTCTACACCACAAATATTATCCCAGGATAGATCACCGAAAAGACACAAAAAGAGGAAATTGTGTTCATAAAACATTGTGCAGTATCCTTCCGTGTTTTAGACTATTGGACTATATCAAGAGCATGGTCAGTAGCATGAAATAGGGGAATTCACACCCTGAATGACGAGTGTCGAGTTGTCCAGAGCTTTTCTTGGAATCATAAACTCAAATTGATAACTTTTTCCTTTCATTAAGGACATGCTTCCACCTTTCTCTTCTGCTTTTTCAATAAGGATTTTGATTTGTTAAAAGACATCTGAACTCCATTGTCAAATTGTAGTAATCTAAGAAAGATTGAGTATCTCACAGTGGGTACAGATATAATGGTTGTCTTGTTCTCAAGATTTACAACTAATAAAAGTAATTTCTGGAATATTAGGCATAATAACCAAGTAAACCATCATTACTTTGTGTACAAACACACAATAGCACTACAGAAAAAAATGTCTCCTCACACATCATAAAGGCTGTGTCATGGTTTGCTACAGCAACACAAAATACTGTGTAATGTATGACAAACAAGCCCAGAGCCATCAGTGATTTGCACTCTTTGATTTGGTTACACAACAGCCAAAGATCCATGATCCTTACAACCCAAACAGAGCTGACCATGAGGCCCCGTCTCCTCAGTGGGAGTCCAAGTCAACCCATGCAGAGAGAGCTGCTAATACGTCTAATCTGGTCTACTACAGACTGGATGTCTTAGCAAATTCCCACTTGGGTTTAAATATAAATGGGTATAGTCCGGATCTGAGAGCAGGATAGCAGCGTAAAGTCTTTGAGAACAAGTTTGACATATTTGCTAATAAATATGAGGAACCAATAACCAATACATTTTCTACACAAATGTGATCATTTGCATTAACATAATTCACATTACATGCACATATGGATGCATGAAAATCACAACTTGGCTGTTTACATGTCTAGTCCTGACCACAGCCTCAGGAGCATGATACCTTAAATTTCACTGTACAAATGAGAGCATTTAATCAAGTTTTCAAATTAGAGTGATTCCTGACACATTACTTGTAACCCTTTGTGCTTCAATCTCTTATAGTGGTTGACCAATGTTGGTTATTTATTGGCCAGTGCTAATATTTAGAGGGCAGGGGAGGTGACTGATGAAAAGTGTTTTAAACTAAACTTAATGTCAACCACGCTTAACTAAACTTTTATTTTATGCTGGCTAATGTAAAATTTACTTGTAATATAAAATATTTTAATTTAAGAAAATGATTGTCCCTTTGCTTCAGTAGATCTGCAGTCTACCTATAGTTTTAATTATCATAATTGTCCACATGTAGTCAAAAACATATCTGTAGAACATGATGCTCTGTCCCTTCTCTGCTATGCTTTGGAAAATTCATGTAGCCAGTTGGAATTGTGAAACAAATATCATATTCCTAAAGGGTCCTGCAGAATCAGTTGATAACAGACTGTGGGCCAGTGTGGAGTAATTCAGGAAGACGTGTTTATAGAGCTAAGATTACAAACAACTTCAAAAGGAGTGAGAATTCCTGTCTTCCATTCACTGAAATAAGCTGGGCTGAGTAAATGTGTTTACTCATACAGAGAGTTGAATGACCTGAATCTGGGGGAAGATGGCATGCACATGGGTGAGTGTGTGTGTTTGTGTGTATACACGTAAAACAATAACCCAATTGTCCCCCTATGGCCCCGAAGTGACCTAATGGGAGAGGATTGGGCATGTGCAGTACTGTTCAATTCTGAACACACACACACACACACACACACACACACACACACACACACAACCACACAGTGAGGGTGGTTAACCCGGCTCATGGCTTTCACAACATGTATGGAGAATTTCTGAGGCCTCAAAGCTGAATGGCAACAAAAGTGAAGAGAGACAACAAAGGTTAGTCTGCACCCAAGCAGAGGCCATTATTGGTTAGAGCTGAACAAATGGGATGATGACAAAACAAGTAACACTGAGAACAAAAAGGTCAACCACAGAAAGCCCACATTGCTTGTTTTTCGAATAAATTTGTGGTTTATAAAACACATGGTTTTACACTTTGCATTCCTGCAAAAAAAACCTTTCTCAGCTTTTAAATCACATGTTATCTCAGCTTTCACAAAGCTGCTGTATGTTTTCTTCACTCATGAACCATACAATGCCCCCCCCTCCTCTTGTTTCCCACTCATTCATCCATACACTACAGGCAACTTAATGAGCAGCAGTTCCCACTGAAATGAGGCTACGCAGACCGACTCAGGGTGTTCTACTTTTCTGCAGGCTACTCCCTCCACAACATGCAGCTGTCTTCCCTCCTCCTCTGCATTCTGCACAACACTGCATGCGTACAAATGGGTGAACACCACAACCCTAGAACACCACCCTGTTTCTTGGCATTTGCTTGAACATGAGGCACAGAGGTAAGGGTTAGATTCTGCTTCTCACATACACGCAGGTGTTAGTATTTGTTGGTGTTGGTATGTTGCAAACTTTCTTTCATTAGCTGTCACTGTTTGACCTGTGAGGGCAGAGTTCGCAGCTTCAGTCATTAATCACATCACTGCAGTGCTCATATGTGCTGGGAGTGGAGATCACACAGATGGTCTAACTAAAGCTGCATTTCAGGCCAAATTTAAACATTGGCAATATCTCACTTTCTGACAACTGTGGCAAGACCATGACAATTTATCTATTTTAGTGCTCAATATTTAACTTTCAAGAATAAAATGGACTGTTTCTTATATGCAGTCAAGTATAGTCCTGGAACATTTTGGGCTTGATGATGAGGGTGCTCCTATTGATCAGTTCCAAGCCTTTCCACAGACGATGATCAAAGATTAGGTCAGTTTCTTGTAACAGATTCCAGAATAAAATGCTACTGCAACATCACGTGCCAATTCTGTCATGAGATGATTAAACGGTTCAGTCATCGTGCACTCATATCACTTAAGTGGTGGTGCAGTCTCACAGCTATAAACATTTCCTAGGTTTATCCATTATTAGTCAGTTGATGGCTATTGAACTCTGGCATCAGATGGAAACATGTTTAGTGGTTTCTTATGTACTCCATATTAACTTAAGCCAAGTATGTCTAATTCCATGAAAACTCAACGTCAATTACAGTCTAACTGCTGACAACAAGTTTATCGGTAATGTATGTAAATTAACCCAAGCGTGTATTTCATGCTCATGAAGGGTACACAACATAACAAATGAATTTCTTAGGCCGGGCACCAAGCCAAGTTGAATGTCTCTTTACACTGAATACCTGTGCAGGATCAGACTCTGGCAGAACCTGATTTACAACTTAGCGGAGGAAAGAATCTGCATATGTCTGCAACTGGGACAAGATAACAACATGGTCCTCTCTGCAGGATTAGATTAATGTGACCATTCATTCAATTACCTATGTTCTCTGCTGAAAATGATGTATGTTAAAGAGAAATCTAATCTTGCTTTTCAGCATCAAAGTGTGAGAAATAAATCCCATCTCCATCGAGTCAGGAGGGTCTCTGTTATGTGACTTGCGGCGACATGCAAACATTCCTTTTACCTCTGTGATCCAATCATTCTGTGAAGGGTGGGAATCTCAGGAATGTTATGAGCAAACTGAAGTTAAGTGTACACTAAAATCAACAGAAACACTTCCTGTAGAATAAACAACATATCTCCTCTAAAAGATTTTAAAGTGACAAAGACTACACCCTCCACGTGGTTCAGGTTTGACCCATCCTGTTCGAATCCAGCCAACATTATGCAAACTAATTGCTTGTGTGTGCTTCAGTTGAGACCTCAGATCCTCGTATGGATATGAGCTGCAGGCATATCATGGTTTCACGTGTTTTCTCTGTGCTGACTGGCAGCAGCTGGGATCCGGTCTTTGTTGTGGGGGCCAACAGCTGATGCAGGCTGCAGATCTGCAGCAGCAGTGTCAGGCCACACTGACCAACATGTTGAACAGCTACTCCTGCACTTTCCTGTCCTGCAAGATGACTGAAACCGAGCTAACCGCACAGCTGATACCATGGAATTACCATAACGCTTCCATCATAACGTCAGCCACAGTCAATGGGGAAGTGGGTGGATTTATAGTCATGTATGTAGCACTTTCATAACCACGCCCATGCTTTCTGGGATGCTAACGCTGTGACCGTTAGCCAAGTGTTGTATCCTCACAGGTCGTTTATGCTAATGCTAACCAGCATGACTGCAGCGTCCCTGTCAAAGTGACAAAGCCACATCTGGAGGGGCCTCCACGCCCTGCTCACTGTGTGTATGCGTGTGCCCTGGCTGCATATCACCGGCAACAATGGTGACGCAAGCTTTGCGGCTAACCAGCCGGCTAAGCTCTTAGCTAGCTCCTAAGTCCAACTGTAAACAACAACAGGACACGTCCAAGCTAACGCTAGCCACTTCCATCGGTACTAACAGCAACGGTTCTGCCTCCTGGTAGAAGACGGGGCTGGGAGCAGGTCGCTAGCGGCCACAGCTCACACCAAACCCGGTGTGTTCTCTCAAATAAAAGAGTTTTGTGGTTACCACGGGTATAACACTCCAGCCGACACACACACACCTTCACCCGGCTTAATAAACTGAGATAAACCCTTACCCGACGTGAGCTGGAGACTCCTGGGGAACCCGGGTTCACCTCCTGGGATCAAACCCGCCGTGTCATGGGTGTGCTGGTGGAAAGCGGAGGTGGGAGAGAGGATTAGTTTGTGTGAGACTCCTGCGACGTCCCGGACTGAAGAGGAGGGAATGCAGGAATGTGACGTTCACTCGGGTTTCGCTGGCAGCGATGACACGTGCGCTTGGGAAGAGGAGCATTGTGGGAAACGTAGTATCTGGGAGCTGGGAGAGAGGGGAAAATAACAACACAACAACGCGACGATGGATTTTCACCAAACTCGGTGGGGACAATAGTTTGGAGTAACTTTAGGAGCTGATCGGTCAAAGGTGTAGAGTCAAGGTCGACGACCCATTTATCAAGATCTCTCAGTAAATGATAGTGGAGAGGGAGAGAAAAGAAAATCATTTCCAATCATTTAATACGTGGTGGTGAGGTCAGAGGTCATACATAGTTCACAATACATGTTCTGAGATATAAGACTATATACATCACCTATAGACACGACCATAAGCGTGTGTAAATTAACATTAACAATAACCTGAGTACATTATACTGCACTTAGGTCGAGGTGCATGTATTTGTACTTGTAATTCTATTTTCTGCTACTTTACACTTTGCTTACTAATTTACGATCAATGGGTCAATTAATACAACTATATTACCTGGATTACCTTGTCAAATATAAAGCAATTACAATTAGAGCGAGGACTTTAATTTGACTTAAGCTGCCTGCCACTGATGATCACTCAAACACATGTAACACAGGGGCGTTCATACAAAATGATATGATAAGACTCTTTTATTCTTCTCTTATGTATAATCTTATTTACATAAAAAATAATCACAGATTGACTGTCATTTATAATGGCTCCTGTCTTCAATTGCCGAGCACATATGATACACTCTAGATTTCTTGCCCATTTAACAAATCATTGACTAAATACATAAATAAATAAATAAACCTGATCATTTTTGAAACTTTATCAGATGTAATGGCGCTAATAATCAAATGTTGTTATTTTGACTTTTTCATCCATGCAGCTGAAGAATGAGAAGAATATTGCTGGAATATTTTGATCACCAACGTGGGGCTACAATGGTTGCGTGTGTGTGTGTGTGTGTGTGTCAAATCTTTTAATTGTCAATGATGCTTGAATCCAGTTCAACAGGTATGTTGGTGGTAAGTGTGTTTGAATAGTTTGCCATCCTCTCTCTATAAATATGAGGCTCACCTTGACAACCGAACACAAGTGTCTGCAGAGCACAGTTGAAACCTGATTTTTTTCAATGTAATTACGCCCCCTTGTGGAAATGACATAAGTGCAGTTAAAGAAAACTTACAGGCTCAGGCTTTTAATTTATTTAATTAATCTGTTTATTTAATTATACATTCTAGACATTTCTTTTTAAAGATTTATAATTTCATTCTATGTTTGTTATTTATTCAGTTTTTTAATCACTTATTTACTTTCTCTGAAATGTTTTCCTTTATGACCACATTTTTATCTATTGTTTTACTCACTCCTTTTTTATCATTTTATCTTTATCCCTTTCACTTCTTGGAAACATTTTTTTAACAATTGTATATTTATCATTATCATCTTTCTTTGTTTACCTGCCTTTGGTGTTTCCTCATTTCAAATTGATGAGATTTACAACAGCATTTCCTCGGTACTTGTTAATACTATATTGCTTTGCTCTGTGCGTGGATGGGGGAATTTTTTTTTATTGCTTTTATTCTGTAAAGCACTTTGAATTACATTTTTTGAATGAAAAGTGCTATACAAATAAAATCTGATTGATTGATTGACTCATAAACAAAAGACAGAGGTTTTGAATGTCTTTTATAGAAACAGAGGAAAGAGATAGAATAAGACAGATGGAGTAAACTTCAGATTAAAGGATGAGTGGATAGGTCGGATGGTGCACTGCAGTGACAGCTAAACACACAGTTAAGTGGAATGTCCCCTCCCCTGCTTGAGATGGGTGCAAATCATATTTGCCACCACTGTCAGAGGCTAATTAACGCCCATGTAGTGATGGAGACTCCAGCAGGTCCCTGCACCCCCCACCCCAGATACGTCTCCTTCCTTTCAGTCCTTTTTCCTTCTCGCTCCCCAGCTTCAGTTCTGTGTCTATCCTTAGTAGTCCCATAATTACTTTGTTGTCCTCTTCACTTCACCCACAGCACCGCAAGTCATCCAGGCTTCCATGTCCCTCCCATAGTGCTGTGCATTGTCCCTGTGGACAGGCGCGGTTCATATCGCCTCCTCTCACATGCCTGTGTTTACCTATAGTAATAATAATGATAATAATAAAAATAATCATGACTGGAAAAAGTAAAACAGCTGATGTGATGTTACCATCCGGAAATAGGCTGTTTGTGGAGGACAGAAAACGAGTGATGTCGTTTTTCCTTCAATGCACTGAATTCATAAATCTTGCATCTGCTTTGAATAAACGAGTATGTACAACAGCACATTTCAAGCTTGTGTGAAGTTGAGTGGTAAAAGTTGGTGAGATTCAAAAGTAATTTGCACTGTTGCCAAGGAAACCATAATGTTGAACTGCCATGTAATTTCAATGTTCTAAAAATGTCAACTTTCGTTGCATGGCACGCAATCCTTGAAAAATAGAATCATATTGTTTTAAACTTCTTTCTTCCCGGTGTATGTGTCTGATTACTATGTATTTAATTATATAAAAGAGGAGATACATATTTTAGTTGTAATGTGTTTAGTCAGAAATATGTAGAAGCAATGTCACATAAATCTAAAAGCTCTATGAGCCCACTCACATTTCTTCCATTTATGAATATACATACAACTCTATTTTGTCCCTTTATGTTCAAGTGAACTTTGCTGTTTATATCAGTTTTACACTGGTTTCATGGTCTTAGTAAATTCTGTTGAGCGAGAAGAAGAAAAGCAAAGGCAGAAGTTGGCGTTACTCCGCAGGTTGCCCTGCACAAGGCTGTATCCTCAGCAGAGGGATGGTACCAAGGCACCAATTAGAAGTGGAGAGGGCGCATGATGATATTTCCGTGTGCTTGTGGCCTGGGCTGCTCCATCTGTGTGCGTTATAAAAGGCAAAACCATAAACATGGAATTAGACAGTACAGGCCCCACAGCTCTTAAGGTCACAGACTCTCCCCCTCCTGTGGCTTGTGAGAGCAACGGTGTGATATAAACAACACAGGGACGGCAAACTGTTATTCCTGTAGGTGCAGGTTTTCTGACAGGGCGGCTGATTACTGGTGCTTGTCAGTATGTGAAGTTCATTAAGGCCAGTGGCCCTGATGCAGCTGTCTGCTGCAGTTCTGCTCTTCTACTGTCAGGTCGAACGGGTGCTGGAGATGAGGTGTGGGAGAAAGATCACTGTGCAGCAGTTAGAGGGAAACTAAGTGGGTGGAAGTGACTGAACCTATCTAACGCACACGCACACACACACACACACACATACACACACACACACACACACACACACAAAGCTATTGGCCAGGGTTCAATTTGTTGAGTAACAAAAACATGATAGCTTTCTAACCAGCAGGTGGGGGCAGTAGACAGATCATAGGACTGTTGTGTTGTGAGACGTGCCATTATAATGTCCAGTAAACCATAGATGCACAGATCTACTGTTACCTATTGTCAGTGAGGCGTAAGTAAGTGCTTCTCTAAAACACATGACTTATTCAACTTATTCAAAAATAAACAAGCAACATAAATATATGTAAATTTAACGCCCCCCCCATAGACTTAACCTCCTACCAAACAATAACCAAAACACAGGTTGGATTGGGAGGAATTCTCACTCAGCCCTCACTAACTATATGTTGTTTGAAGCCTCATAATTATATCCATGTAAAACAAATTATGATCACAAAATCACAGTGGCAATTTTTTTTAACCAGAGGGCACATCTATACCACGACAATAAAATAAGAAAGAGAAAAGGGGAGACTATCACAGAGAGTCACCTTTTAGAATAGACAACAAACATCAGCATTGATTTGTCCATCTTATTTCACCGTGCCTTTCTAGACACCCAAGGACTCCTTACAATTTATAAATAATAAACTCATGAATAGTTGAACCAAGTGATAAAATCAGATCAGGAGACACAAACACTGATCAACACATCACAAAACCAAAAACACACATTTAAGAATCCATAAATATCAAATATGTGTAATTTTTGTAATATTAATATAGTATATTCTCTAACAATATATAAATATGTAATAATGTATCACAACATTTTAGCTTATTATGTTTCGATCTCATACTGCACTATATTATATACGGTATCTGATTTGTTGTCTATTGTATTGGTACTACTTCATATATCAATATTAATGTGGATAATAACACAACTAATTTGATATGATACCCTAGTGTGCAATGCTATTGCTTACAGTACCATTCTACTTTACTTACCTATCAAAACAATTCAGTGATCAAATGAATTAACATCTGTCAGCATTGCTGCTGATTTTCTTCAAATCAATAATCTATTAATGGACCAAACATTAGTCGAGAAATATTGTTTATGTCAAAGGAGGGGGTGTTTAATGGAAGTGAGTTTAAACTTAGAATTATTCCAGCGGAAAGATGATACTTTTCTAAAAACACAGGCAAGAAAAAAAGAATAAAGTTGTTTTCTCTCTACTTTGTCTTTTGTCCTCCCTCTTCAGGATGAGAGGGGCCTTTCTTCTCTCAACCCCTCCTCTCCTCTCCCATCCCTGGCAGCCCGACGCTCCCCGTGCTGTTGGACTTCAGCAGAGCCCCGACCGTCCGAGGACGTGCGTTGACAGCTCCTGGCCGTGTGTGTCCGCCTGCATGTATGGCGAACACCCGTTGAGTAGGTGGGTCTGCTGGAAGGGAGTGGGAGAGGTGGGAAAGGGGCAGATGGAACACAGAAGGAAGTTCACCAGAGAACATAGAGTGTCAGAAAGTAGAGAGGGACACAGGGAGAGAGGGAGGGGGGGGGGCAGTGATAGGTAGAGGAGGCAAAGCTGAGAAAATGAGGGGACAGATATGCAGAGAGACAGGGTGGCGGGTGGCATTAGAGGGTGAGAGAGGCCGAGGGAAGGATGGAGAGGTGAGACATGTGTCAGGTACCAGAGGGAGAGGTGACGAGCAGCGGGGGCTGGAGGGAGGGTGACAGGTAGGGATGGAGGAGTTGGGGTTTGGGGGGGGGGGTGATAATGATA